TCATCATATCAGAAAATTAGAATATTACTGAAGACCAATAAAAACAAAGGATTTATAGAAATGTTGGCCAACTGAAAAGTATGAACATGAAAAGTATGAGCATGTACAGCACTCAGTATTTAGTTGGGCCTCCTTTGGCCTGTATTACTGCAGCAATGCGGCGTGGCATGGAGTCGATCAGTCTGTGGCACTGCTCAGGTGTTATGATAGCCCAGGTTGCTCTAATAGTGGCTTTTAGCTCTTCTGAATTGTTGGGTCTGGTGTATTGCATCTTCTTCTTCACAATACCCCATAGATTTTCTATGGGGTTAAGGTCAGGAGAGTTTGCTGGCCAATTAAGAACAGGGATACCATGGTCCTTCAACCAGGTACTGGTAGCTTTGGCACTGTGTGCAGGTGCCAAGTCCTGTTGGAAAATGAAATCTGCATCTCCAAAAAGTTGGTCAGCTGCAGGAAGCATGAAGTGCTCTAAAACTTCCTGGTATGTGGCTGCGTTGACCCTGGACCTCAGAAAACACAATGGACCAACACCAGCAGATGACATGGCACCCCAAACCATCACTGACTGTGGAAACTTTACACTGGACTTCAAGCAACGTGGATGAAGTGCCTCTCTTCTTTTCCTCCAGACTCTGGGACCTTGATTTCCAAAGGAAATGCAAAATTTACTTTCATCAGAGAACATGACTTTGGACCACTCACCAGCAGTCCAGTCCTGTTTCTCTTTAGCCCAGGCAAGACGCTTCTGACGCTGTCTGTGGTTCAAGAGTGGCTTGACACAAGGAATGCGACAGCAGAAACCCATGTCTTTCATACGTCTGTGTGTGGTGGTTCTTGAAGCACTCACTCCAGCTGCAGTCCACTCTTTGTGAATCTCCCCCACATTTTTGAATGGGTTTTGTTTCACAATCCTCTCCAGGGTGCGGTTATCTCTCTTGCTTGTGCACTTTTTTCGACCACATCTTTTCCTTCCCTTCGCCTCTCTATTAATGTGCTTGGACACTGAGCTCTGTGAACAGCCAGCCTCTTTAGCGATGACCTTTTGTGTCTTGCCCTCCTTGTGCAAGGTGTCGATGGTCGTCTTTTGGACAACTGTCAAGTCAGCAGTCTTCCCCATGATTGTGTAGCCTATAGAACTAGACTGAAAGACCATTTAAAGGCTTTTGCAGGTGGTTTGAGTTAATTAGCTGATTAGAGTGTGGCACCAGGGGCCATCAATTTTGAACCTTTTCACAATATTCTAATTTTCTGATATGATGAATTTGAGATGTTCATTTGTTGTCATTTGTAATCATCAAAATTAAACAAAATAAACATCTGAAATATATGAGTTTGTATGTAATGTATGAATATAATATACAAGTTTCACTTTTTAAATGGAATTACTGAAATCAATCTACTTTTTCATGATATTCTAATTTTATGACCAGCACCTGTAGTTTGTCACAGCAACCAGGGACATAAGGTCCCTATGCTACTGACACATTGGCACTGAGAAACATGCTTCCTGGTCTATGCTCCTTCCTAACTGCAAGCTCTATTTGGATAGCATTCTTATGGCCACTTCAGACACACCTCTGCCATAGCTTAAGTGATCTTTGTGAAGTCATGAAGCTGAGACAGAGACATTTCTTGCTAGAAAAAAGGTTCAAATTTAGTTATCGTCCTCAGACGCAGAGATAAGGCCCTGACTGAGGCAACCTCAGAACATACATTTATACCTTACAAAATCCCAACACACACACTCCCCCCAGGGGAACCAACCCAGGCCCTGCATAAAGAACTATCTCACACTAGAACATTTGGAGGAAAAACAACTTGAGTTCATCAAGGCCATTCCCTGTTAGGTTAATATATATTTCAATGGCCAGACAGATCTTCTCAAAACAACAGTCCTCCCCTTCATGCCACGAAGTAGGCTATGTGAACTCATTTTTATCTCTCATGACCTTCGTTTGGAGCCTTTGAGGCTAAGAACAGACATATCAACATGTTTTACTTTACACCTTAACGATTTGCGGTATTGAGTTAGAGCCTGGGTGTTGGTCCAAGTGTTGCAATGGTTCCAGGAGCTTGTGCTAGGGAAGGAAGCCTACTAGTTGCCAGTCATGGAAGCATATGTTGGAGGGGTTTTCTTTAGCAAAATGTCTGAGCCAGGTAAAGCAATGTTCTATGGGGGTAGTATCTCCAGGAGGTTTTCAGGCATGGAAACACTACCCCCCTAAATCATACAGCCTCCTTTGTCTGTGTATCCTTCGATGCATTGCAAATAAAAGCCTTTCCAGTCAGTTGGATATTCATATCATCTCTGTTGATAGGTACCGCTACTCTGTCCGTCACAAAGACGGATAATGCCTAATTGTGACAGATAATGGACACAACAAGTCGATCCCCAAAGTCCAGATAGGCCAAACATGAATATGGAATGAGTAAAGTAGATCTTATACATTTCAAAATAAGAGATTATGTTAATACATTATTTTAGAATAAATCCTGGAAGTGATGCAGAAGTACTTATTCACCTACAGCACTAATCCCACTTCTCCTCTCTTACCCCAAACGCCACAACTTCATGACAATGTGGACAAATTCTTATATGTACTATTTTGATTTACACTGTAAATGTTTGTTGTAAGCTGTTAGCTGCTCAGGAGGGAACATGACACCACTGTAGCGGCAGCAGCAGGATCTGTGGGCGGTTTTACTGTGTTGATAATGTACCAATGCATATTTCATGGTCCGTGATTTCATTACATATCCTCCGTCTCCCCTGAGGATTCAAAGGCCAGCCTTGAATTAGAGGCAACTCTAATTACGTCTGCTCTGTCAGACTTCACACAGGGAAACCAGAGATTTATTACATCATGTGAGAGATTTTACTTGGTTATAGATCTCAGTTTACAGTATACAGAGAACGTTGGTCTTTTCCTTATATGTTATATCGAAGATGGCAGAGTTTCTCATCTACCTGACCCAGAGTTTTCCAGAGGGTTTTTAGGTCTTAATAAACTTTTGTTCGGGCTTCTGCTGCTTTGTAACTCATTTTATCTCCAACACCCAAACCTTTTCTGAGGTAGTCTATTAAGCAGTGGCCCCTTGACATACTTATACAAGTGCATCTCAATAAGTTATTGAAAAGCAAATTTATTGAGGTTCCCTATTACTCAAATCCTACAGATTATACACACAGACACATATTCCAAAGCCTTATTTGAGGACTTTTTTGTTTTGTTTTGCTTACTGCTAAGGAAACCCAAGAATTAAAATTTTTCAAAGGACTAATATAATCTAAAAATTGATACAACTAGCAGGCTAATTAAAAAAAAGTATATAGATTTAACTACCATTGTTCCTCCGTTGGGAAATGTTTAATGACTCAGTAGAAAGTAACTGTGATATGAAAGCACTCACATCAAGCACATCAAATTATTCGACCTACTTCGTGTTGTCGAACAGGTTTTATTTAAGGGATTTCTTGATTCTACAGATCCGGCATCATGTTTACTTATAGGTGTCTTGTGAATTAAAAAGGGGCCAGTTACATTTCCACACAAAGTCAGTCTTTTTTGGATTGTTTCCTCCTTTTAATCCAGCTGTAAATCTTCCTTTTGTACAACAAGAAAAAATTGTCTGATAAAAAAGTTCAGTTCATTGTCTTATATTTGACATATGCCATAAAGCTGATACAGAAGAAGGCTTTTGTTCACAGGCCTTCTTGTGAACAAACAGTAATATCAGTCTACACTGATATTACTGTTTGCCCAGTATTGTCACAGAGAAAAAGACTCTTGACGGGAAATATAGGCAAAAATAACAATTATCTGTATCTACACAAAGTAAGAAAAACTACCAGAATGTAGAAATGTTAAAACTCTATAAATCTCACTCAATTTACTGTGAAGTAAATTATTTCAAAAGTCTGGAGATAATAGTCGACTCCACAGGAGGTGGATTAGCTTTAACTTCACATTCAAGCAGCTCCTTTGATAGATTCCTCTTCCTTTTCGCTGCTTTTGAAAGACCTTGTGCTCTGTGTGCCGCCCCGGCTGTTTAGCTCTGTCACTTGTACGTGATGTTAAAGCTTCAGCTGTCTTCCCTGCTGAAAAATAAATGTGCTAAGTGTACTAAAATTTAGCATACTTTTGTGTACTTGAAGGCACACTAATCATTACTATACTTTAAGTGTGTTTATGATTAGTTAACTTGAAGGATGCTATTTTGGAACAACTAATTTTGTACTAAATATATTTTAATTGTAATTAAATTGTGGACAAGCTCAACTTGAAGTGTATTTAGTGTACTTTGATGTGCTAAAGTGGAACAACTTAAAGTATATTTTGTATACTTTAAGTATATGAGTTTATTTGTACTAATATATGCTTAATTAGTCAAATTAAAGTGCACTATGGTTGTATTATAACTACATTAAAAATGATTTGTTAGTGTCTTAAAAATATATAAGCTTTATACTTTTAATATACTCTTACTGTGGTAATAATATGCTTAATTATACTGTTGGCTTATTCCAATTACTAAAAAAGCATACTTTGCAGTTAATAGTAAATATACTTTATCATTACATTGCTATACTACTTTCTACCTTGCACATTCTTGCAAATGTATTACCGGTAACAGTATACTAAATGCTGAAAGACTTGTGGATATACTTCCGTGCAGATGAAAAAATATACTTTAATGTATTTGAAACATGTCCAAATTATAGTACATTACAAATAATATAACAACTTGTACTATCTCAGAATAAACATTTACATATCGACGTTAACCATTTTCATTATAAAACTTACAACACATTTTCAAATATTGGTACTTTAGTACACTTTGTAGAAATATGTCAATTTCAGGCAGCAGACCTAAACATTACAAATAAACTTTAAAGAACGCAGAGGAATACTGAACAATGAAAAACAACATTCCTTATTATTGCACCCCTAAACCCTCGCACCATACAAAAACACGCCCACCACACATTATTTTCCTTTTTTTGGCTGAACTGCTCATTGTTACATTTTCGTCTGATGGCCGTGCGCACATCAGAGACACTTGTCTACGGAAACTCCAGAAGAACAGCGTCTGTTAACCAAACAGAGAGATACTGTAAGTCACGCAGCATATTCATAGTATTTTTGAGCAGTACATCAGAAAAGTCTGACAAATTGTATCAGTATGATATACCAGGGTCCATAAGTGCACCAGAAAAAAAAATTGTCCATTTCAGTTGAATTTAAATAAATCTGATGCATCAAGTGGTTTTATCAGATCTGATCAAAAAAATTAAACAAAGTAACAACAAAAATTGTCAGAGATCTCAGAAAAGAAAAAAATTATGAATCCGCAGAAAGAAAGGGAAGAAAAATCCTTAAGTTTCCTTGTTTTTCCTACCACCTTCCAGGGAACCGGATGGCATTCACATTGGGAACATTCTGCATCAACATCTCTGGTGGAGTCTAGTCCAGTCCATACAATGAACCGCTCAGCTGTAACAGCAGATTCTGCAACTATGTAAAAAAAAAAAACAGCCTGCACACAAATGTGCAGAGCAATTACTTCAATTGGAAAATAAATCATGTAATCACCATAATATAAATTGGTTTTTACCACATTTATACAGAGAAAAATATAAAGTAAAATTATCAATTTACATGTGGTTCACTGTCTAAGAAATCATTATGGTCAGTAGTCAATACTTGTATCTGGAAAAAACAATCCAGGACACCTATGAAGGGTTAATTTTACGTTAACCCCTTGTGGGGGTTTTACAGCAACATCACACAAGATGTAGCTAGCTTGAAAGTGCATTTTCTTTTTTAGAAGAGCACATGGGGGGTGTGTTAGCCTCCTTCTCACTGTGCTAATGCGTTCAATAAATCAAAAGAGCTAGTAAAATTACATATCTTACAAAACATTACATCCTGACTGGTTTTACATCTCAAAAAATATATATATTTCATTCACAGGTTCATGTGAACTCACCAGGATATTCTTCAACACAATAATACAGCAAATCTTCCTGCTCAACCGATTACATCTCCTGTTTCTACAATACAAATATAATAATCAAAATCGCGTTTTATACAGATATCTTAAGATTTCAAAACCAAATGGGAATGTTTTGAAAGTTACCTCTCTCCATGCAAACCGAGGCCTTAAAAGAAAAGCACGCTAGCTCTGAGCAGGGAGGAGCCGTGACTAACTGCTGTGCAGGTGTGGTGCATTCAAAGTCTATGGGAATTCTGATATCAGTACTGAACCAAAAACTCCCCAAGACTAAAATTCTTGGGGAGCTACTACTTTACAGACATCAAGGCCAAACAACCTCCACATATCACTCCTATATGCATGAAGTGCTGTCAGCGACTTTTAAATATGTGCACTCACCAATTGGTCTTGTTTGCAGTAGCCCTGCTTTGATCCATTAAACAATACTAATGAAATGTTCTTTTTTGAACACTTGAGACAATTGTAATGTGTTAAGTTTATTTCTTTTGCATTTGGCCAGTATTAACTTTTCTGTTGCAATGTGGGTTATGCTATTTGTTAGATCATAATGTAGCACTGCACCAGCTTTAAACCACTTGCTTTTCAGCAGAACACACATTTTTGTGCACCTGTACTTTTGAAGTGAACATTTAGTGTTTTGTTCAATGTGGTTTTGTGTGTAAGATGTATTGTATCATATTTCTTTTTCAAAACTTATTAAACATTACATAACAACTGCAATAATTGCTATCTGTGTACTTTACACACAGCACAAAATTGCATAATAGGGTTTAAGTGCATTTTTGTAGTTATACTATTGAACACTTTCCAAAAGAATTACCTGAAGTACAAGCGTATATAACTTCACTTCATAATTAGATTCAAATGTAACTTAAAATGCACTCAAACTTAATATTACAGTGTCGATATTAAAATGTGTACTTTTAAAATATGCTTTCAATGTACGTTACAATGACAACTTTGAGCATACAATTTAAAATATAGCAAAAATATATGTAAAAACAAATTTAAAATAAGTACACTTTAGAAATTACACATAACTTTCACTTAAAGTATACTTTTTTAATAATATATTTCTATAAAGTGTAACATAGTGTAATTATGTTAAAGTGTGTTAAAAGTATTAGCATGAAAGCGTAATGTTAGTATACTTTTTATATATTTACAAAAAGTACAATTTGTCTAAGTACATTTTCAGTAAACTATAGGAAATATGAATATACTTGAAATACAATAAAGCACATTTTTTTTTTACCAGGGTTCCCTTCAGCAGGCTTTCCTTGTGTCTGTATCTGTGTGTTGATGGTTGATCCGGAAGCGGAGAGTGGGAGTTAAAACTGTCATCCTGTAACTGCATGAAGCTTGAATTCAAATTTTGCCTTTATTATATATTTTTCACTGCTGATCATTCAAAGCCATCAGCCCACACTTGCTCAGAGGAAGAACACCAGTGGATTAATCATAACAAAATGAACTTTCCCCCAAAGGTTGTTTTTGCGAGTCAAGAAAATCCAGGATATGAGACTTGCCAAATACAGGCATCTTGAGGAGGTTGGAAATTAAAATCTAACACAGCAGTACTAATTTTTTTGCTCCTACGGAGCTACACTGCAGTGCCTTATTAATCTCTTTACACCCATTTAACTTTTTTCTATTCTTCGTCACCTTATAACTCTGAACTTCAGTATTTTTGTTGGTACTTTTTTTTTATGTCTATGTAGGTCTGGGGAGGCTGCTACGGAAGAAGATTAGGGCCACTGAAAAAAAAAAAGAAAAAGTTAACTGATTTTTAAATTTTATTTCAGTTTAACATGGGAAAAAAAGTCAGAATTCTGACTTTTTTTTCAGAATTTTGACTTTAATCTCAGAATTCTGACTTTTTTCTCAGAATTCTGACTTTAATCGCAGAATTTTGGATCTTAATGTAGATGGGCACCATGAAGTCAGAGATGTGGGAGCACTCAGCTTCACTCACAAAGATGTGTGTTGTTTGAGAGGGCCAGTGACATATTGGGGGAAATTGACGGAATTAGGCAACTTTTTACGTGCCCGAGGGGTCCCCTCATTAATGGAGGAGCAGAAGGTCATTAAAACAAGAGAGCTAGTCTCTAAAACAGACATGTTTATGGCTTGATGCTAACATGTTTGTTAGCTGTCAGAATTCTGAGAAAAAAGTCAGAATTCTGAGATTAAAGTCAGAATTCTGAGAAAAATGTCTGAATTCTGAGAAAAAAAGTCTGAATTCTGACTTATTTCCCCATATTAAACTGAAATAAAATTTAAAAATCAGTTAACTTTTTTTTTTTTTTTTTCAGTGGCCCTAATCCTCTTCCGTAGGCTGCTGAGCCATTCCCTTCACAAACTTTTTTATGTCAGGGTTAGTTGAGGTAAGAGGACCCAAACGCAGAGGCAGAGAGGCTGAGGAGATTTCTGGGAGTTTTAATGGGGCAAAAACAGTAAACAAAGGCAGGAATCCAAAAATCCAACTAATAATGAAAAGCAAACCAGAACTGAGGAGACATCTGGGGAATACCAAACACGAGGAGCCAGGGAGAGACGAGGAACATAGACCACAGCATGGGAAGACAGCAAAGACAAGGAACCAACAAAGAGTGAGAGCAGAGGGAGAGCATATATAGCATAGAGAGACAAAGGGAGGGCTAACGAGCTGACAAGGAGCAGGTGTGAGAGGAGACAACGAGGGAGCCAAGGGGAAAGGAACACACACACACACAAGAGGGCAATAAAGGACAACAGAAAAACATGAGAACTAATATAAATCTAGAAATTACAACAAAACTGGAATTAAACCAATAAATCTAGAAAACAAGGAGCAAAGTAAAGAACAGCAGAACCAAGACCATGACATTTTAGAGTGGCAAAAAAAGCATCTCCAAACCCTGCTGTGGCCACCACCATGTTTCATTCAAAGTTTTGGCATATGAACTGAAAAAATGTAGTCTTTGACATAGTTTGCTTCTTTAAAGACACTTTATCCACTATTGAAAAAGATGGTGGTAGTATGGGGATGTGGGATTGCGTTTTTTTTTTTTTGCAGAGACAGAGAAGCTGAGTCAGTGAGAATAGCTAAATGCAGGACATTCGGGAAGAAAACCTGTTAGAGGTCAATACTGCAAATATGAGATTTCTGTATTTGTGAGGAGTTATAAGTCTGCAACAGGATCAAGGTGCAGCCTGGAACCCAAGAGCAGAAGGATTTTAATAATAATAAAACTGGAGGAAACAAAGGATTTAAATTATAATGAAATATAACACTTAGAGAAAAGCAAGAGGAAAACAGGGCAAGGAACACAGACAGAAAAATGGGAAGAGAAAAAACAGCAATGAATAATAACAGCTGATCAGCTTATTTATTAAATGCTGGCTGAGTTAATCACAGGATTATGTGGAGCAGCTGAGGCAAAGAGGGCACAGGGAGACTGAGGGAGGCAAGCCAAATGATGTGGATGGATTGAAATAAAACACAAACAAACCACCAGGTCAGGTGAAGAAATCTAACAGAAATTAATTGAAATGCACAGAGAAAAAACAAAAACAAGAACAGACGTCAACAAATTCAGATAAAATCTAATAATTTAGGGTTATCTGCAAACAAGGAACAACAAGGAATTTAAGAAATGGAAATTTCATAATTTACAGCAACGTTTTTCTAAATCTAAGTCTTAGTTCATTATTTTCTGTTGACCTGTTATGAAATTCCAAGTAAATATTGTAAGGCGCTGTATAAAGGAGACTAAAGAAGTCAATAAGCTGCTAAATTAGTATGTGTAGATTTATATATAAATATGTATGTTGGTATTTCTAAAAAAAATAATTGAATACATTTTTTGTTGATTTGGCCCTGATTTGTGTTTTATAATGAGACCGTGTCAGAGTAAGAAACAAAATCGTTTTTAAGAACCGAGGATAAAGTTTTCTGTCAGATTTTAAACAGTGCTGGAATTTTATTACATTTAGAATAGAATATAATAGAATATAATAGAATAGAATAGAATAGAAAAGAATAGAATAGAATAGAATAGAATATCCCTTTATTGTCCAACAATGGGGAAATTCTGGTGTTTACAGCAGCAAAAAGATTATTGAAAAATTACATAGGAAATATGATAATTTCCTGCTCTATTGTTTTTCATAGTGTCTGTCAGAAGACTAAATCAGATCATTTAGCAATGGCATGTCTGCCCTGAATCCTTCCCTGCTATTACATAAAATCTAAGTTTAGAAAAGTTTGTTATACTAAAAGTGACGACATTTATGGTAGCCCTGGGTGCCAAATGACAAAAAGAGACAAATAAAAAAAAACTTTTTTTTTTTTGTTGGTTCCGTCTTAAAGGCAAGTGAAACATTTTTTAAGGCTTAGTTTTCTAGGTGGTTGAAAATTGAATTAAAACAACAAACACTTTTTGCATCTTATGGTAAGTTTATCTTAGTTACATCTTAGTTTCCTCCGACAATCTTTAAATATATCTGTGCTGTGAATCTAAATGGTGCCTCAGATGTGTCTTTCTGAAAACGCCAGAGGCTGCTTGTTATGTTGCATTGATGATCACACCTCCATCATGAAATGACATATGCTTAAATTAAGTGATGGTTGTCCTTCAGTTATGTCCCCAAGTTTTTATTTTTTTTCTAAGAGCCTGGATTAGATCTGGGTTTTCTGGACAGAAGCCATTTGCATTCATATTCATGCTTGAAAATCAGTGTGAAAGTCAAATTTATATATAGATATTCTACTAGACTACCAGATATTTACCAGTGTTTTTTTCCTTTTATCTCTGAAAATGCGTATATTAAAATAATATTTTTATTCATAAATTTTTCAGTTCTTCTTCTAATGTCAAATTTATATTATTATTAGTGGGTGCTGATCAAGCTCTACATACCTTCCCTTTTCACTAGACTTATGACATTACAAGCTCTATTGAACTTGTTTCAACTTGATGATACCTTATGAAAACAACAGTTGCGATACCAAAAGGTTTTTCATAGATTAGGAAGCGTCTAAAAGCAGAATTTACCAACTTGCTGTGAGAAGGTTGCAAGTACCCACTTTGATCCCGACAGCCTCCACTCTGGGTTCCTGAGCAAGACCTTTGACTCTTCACTGATCCCCAGGGGCCACACAATGGCAGCCCACTGCTCAACAACGGGATGGGTTCAAATTTCTCCGATGTGAGATCAATAAAGTTCAATAATTATAATTAACTGTTTGACTCCCAAAACCTATATAGATTTGTGGCTCACATTTCTTGGATGCACCAATCACTACTGCTGTTGGGTTACTCTATGTGGCTCCAAAGACACGGACATTCTCCCTTCTCGGTGTATCAAAAATACTACAGTCATAATCTTTGGTGCGGAAGTAAAACTGTTTACTTAATTGCATAATACCAAATGCAAACAAAGTAGCCCTGACTGGTCAACATGTTAGAGGTTCATTATTTGTTTTTTTCTGTTTCAAGAAGAGATTGCAAAAAGAATCGAACCTTGTTTTTTCTTTTTTTAAAACATAAATGCAAAAATGTACTATTTAAATAATAGAAAATCGACTGCGTTTAACTTTCATTTTAGATGATCAAACCCAAAATAAAATATACAACTTTTTTTTAAAGATTTTTTTTATGGATACTGATAGCATTGCTGTTCCAGAAATTAATTAGCACAACAGTTTTAGGTTAAAATTAATCAATAATTATTGTTTTGGTAGAGGTTTAGTAGAGAGAATTTTAGAGTTAACAAAATTTTTTGAAAGTTCAAAGAATAAAAAAAAAAGTAGAAAATATAAAGGAGCCTAGGCAGAAGTTCAACTGAAGAAATGATTACTATTCACCTCCGTCACGGTCCAATCAGCATCCATTGTTCATTTTAAAAGGGACTCCAATCCACATCTCATAGATGGCGCCCAAACTGCAGGCAGCGGTCAGACTTCTATTTAGATGACCCCGATTCAACCCACCTCCATCCCCTTCTCCACCATTGTAGCTAAAGCTTTATCAGTGTTTCATCCCTCCTGCCTTCCTTGACTCATTTCAACCGGTCAGGCAAAAGACCGCCATGTTGAGCCTGGTTCTGTCAGAGGTTTCTTCCCAAAGGGGACTTTTTGTTCTCCACTGTTGCTTCATACTTGCTCATCATGGAAAGGATTACGCAACCTGTGTTATCCAAGCTGGATTTCCATCTTCCAGGTCCCAGAGTAATTCACTAGTTTCAGCTCTCCAGATTTCTTCATACAGCTCAAGCATACCGTCTCTCCAGCCAGCAGTTTATGGACTGACCAACTTCATCCTCTCCACCCCCCAACCAGTTTCAGGCCTGGGGGTAAACATCCATATAATTTACTCCTGTTGATGCATATGAAGCAGATTCTGCGCTAATGTTTTCAGCCGAGGTCTGAGCACCAAAGACTTAAGTAACTGTATCAATAAAAGTCTTTTAATTATCTTTTCTTTCCTTGTGAGTTTTTCAGATTGAAATAGCATACATGTCATATGCATCGTAAATATTTTTAGAAAAATTAATAATTGCCCATTTTAGCTACTGCTATGCTGATCAGTTTTTGTCACTTTTTTGTCGCTTCAGCTGGAATTTCTTAGGACACTGGTGATAGCTGCACTTAAGCGCTGTTCTGCATTGATTACACCTTTTCAAAGGGGAAAGCCCCACTGTGAAATCAGTAATGCTAAAAAACAAAGAATGAGCAATAAACTTCCTGTTGTTTTCTTTGACATGAGAGGTATTTATGTCCATCTTTCATCCACTCTAGGAAAATATCAAAGTTCTTCTCTAATGTAGATTTAAATCTGCTGGTTAGCTCTACCGTGTTTTGCACAGATCAAGATGAAAAATGGTAATTATTTCTTGAACTGTCAAATCATTACCGAAAGCTAACCTGAAGTTTGCTTAATGAAGAGGGAAGTTGAAAAGATGTTCGAGTAAGTGTCAAGCTAAATCACATTAACTAAAAGGTAAAGGAAAAACAAGACGGTACAGCACAGAGATGATGAGAAAGTGATGAAATGCTTGAAAAGAAATGAACCCAGCTAATGCAACAGAGCCCCTCTCAGGCATTTATCCTTATGGGTGGGTGGATGTTTCTCTGACAGCGGGGCCAGAAGGGTTGCTGCAGCACATTTTTATGCTCTCATCTCCGATTCTCTGGTGCATAATACAGAACCCCAGCCCACTGATTGGGCTGGCCTGAACCTCCCATCACAATTAGTTCGACACCGGCGACTGCAAAGTGTCACTGTGCTTCATATGAAGCATCAGTCTGCGGTCGGCTCGTCCCTTGTGTGGGTGCAAAGCGAGCGTTGACTTCCAGAATCAGGACGGAAAAGCATAACCGCATAGGAAAAACAATCTGAGGGGTATTTGAGAAAATTGAGGAGCATTACATAAATATTTTGGAAACTATGTCGTTGTGGCTAACATCATATATAGCGCATATTGTAAATGGTGGGTCAAAAAAGTTGATGTGGAGACTGCTTGTTATTCACAGCATCATTGAGTGGGAGGAGAGTTTCAGAACACTTTATGTTGATTGTAATAAAACTGATCAGACAAAGAAAAAAATAAATCCAGAACCATTAAAGCTACAGTGTGTAATTTTCAGCGACATCTAGCGGTCAGACTGCAGACCGCAGCAACATGAACATCTCCCCCCCACCGCTTCTCCCCCCCAACAGTACGGCGAGCGTTACGGGACAAAATTTCTTCCACGACGTCCACATCACCTACCCTCTCAAGTGATGAGGTTTGTTTACATAGATAATTTTACAGATAGTATTTCATTAGTCTGTGTAGGGTATAGATTTCATGTAGACTTAAGATAATAAATATACCCGTTATTTTTTCTACATCGTTGTGACGTTTTGGTGAGCTGCTTTGCATGGTGATATAAACAGACGAAGTAATTGTAGTCATTAGTTTCACAGCGAGATTGTGTTCGCTGGAAGAATATATATTCCCCGTTTACAGAGTCCAAGTCATTTTGGTGGCACGGGGGTTACAACGCGAGGGAGAGGGAGAGGACGAGGGCGAAGGCAGGGAGGCAGTGCAGCTAGGGCCAGGCGAGAGAGGGGAGCCAGCGGGGTGAGAGCAGAGGAGGAAACGCTTGAAGATCTCCAAAGGAGCCGGAGAGAAGTAACCGAGGTATATATCCAGAAAATTATTTTACAGAAAATTACTGAATCATTACCTATGAAACGTCAGGGACGTTGCTGAATAAGTATACTGGAGAGTAACAGCATCATCACGCCGCAGCATGTTATTGTTTTAGACAGGTCTGAGCATCCTGTACTCCAAAAACTGCAGTGATATTAGACAATTGTGTGTGTAGGATTAATTACCTGTCCAAGAGAAAACTGGCAACTTGAGCGTCACTTTGAAAACCTTTTTCCTCCATCAGTGACTTCCATCGTGTAAATGCCGTGCCAATGTTGATCCGTGTTTTTTGTCGTTTCTTGTCACGCTTGTGTTTATTCTCGTCGTGTTTCCGCTTCTTAGATGACGGGGGTTCGGTGTCCGCCGTTTTTCGTTGTGATACAGAGTAGGCATGATCCTCCATTCGTCTGATGTTTGGCCAAACAGTTTGCAAAGTCACTCACGCCTGCCGCCTTGTTCACCTTTCTTGTTACTGATGCGCAGTATACCTGCTTCTTCTTCTTCTTTGGTTTCAGGCAGACTAAACGCTTCTCAGGCATAATACTGCCATCTACTGTTCAGTACCGTCTCAGTTCATCTCTCTCAACTTGCCGTAGTTATTTTTGAGCGTCATGGGAGATCTCGCAATCGCTAGTTTGTTGCCTCTGCGCTTGCCGTAGCGCAAAGATGTCAGCCTCCATGGCTGCGAGACCCGCTCCTATGTAATTATAAATAACGAATTCTAAGGCAACGCAAATATTATGGTTAAAAGGCTGAGCTCATAGGTGATGATAAATAACATAGTTATGTATAATATATTAAATTTCTGACTTTATATGCCTGTAATTATTACACACTGTAGCTTTAACTCATTTTGTACCCTTAATGGAGGTCTCTTTGACATTTCTCTCAGCACCTGCTTCATTTGCAGCTTTGTTTAATATGGATGCTCTGCTTGGAGAACAGCACTGGTTTCTACATAAACAGTCTGCTAGAAGTATGATGTCACCTGCATTTATAATCAAATAAACCTGAATAGCCTGCTTTTGTTGATCCCCAGACTTTAGTTTGAGTTTGGTTCATTATTTGAACCTACTGTATAACAGTTTTAGGAGTGAGTTTATGAGAATATTTGACATTTTTTTCAGAACTGCATTAATGAGGTCAGATACGGGTGCTGGATGATAAGATCTAGCTTAGGAGAGGGTGCGTGCTCTAACTATACTGAAAAAGTGAAGAAGAAAAAAAGAAATATGATGAAGATTATTATGGTTCTTATTTGTTGTGACTCTGAGTTTTCAGTTTTCTGTTATCAGTTGTTTTGTTTTTATTTTCCATGATCTTCAAGCATTCTTTAGTTACTCTCTGTTGCCCCCTTGTGATTGTTTTCTTTCCCCTTGGATTCCCTCTTGCCAGTTCCACCCACACCTGCTCCCCATTCAGCTTGTTAGTCCATCCTTTTGTTTGGTTCTCCTTAAATACTCCACCTCTGCAGTCACTCAGTGCTGGTTCCTTCTTGTTGCTGTATTGCCTACTCTGCTCGTCTCTCCCCGGCTCCTCAGACTCGTTTTTCCCCAGATGTCTCCATGATTTTGGTTTGTTTTATATTTTAAGTTGGATTTCTGGATTTCTGCCTCTGCTGCTATTTGGTCTGCAATTAAACCTCGCAAAACTCATCTCTGCTTCACTTGTCTCTGCATCTGGGTCCTCAAGCAACCTCACCACCCATTGTTGACAAAGATATTTACAAACCATTGAGTTGAAGGATTTAGGAACTACTTTTTTGGCAGGTGGAAGGTCTTTCTTCCACTTCTGTTTAACTGTTAAAAAAATGTCCTCAACAGGACTCTCTCCTAGCTCCTATCTTTTTATCAATATAAGGTAGAACCATCCCACATTATCTTTTTAATTTTTTAAGATGGGGATATTGCTGTATATTATCCCACAAACACATTAGATAAAGTGCTTTTGAAAAGCTACAACCAGACTTAGATTAAGCTCAGTCCAATAAAAAAAGTCATTGGGGATGATCACACCTGACACGATTTTATGCAAGGGGGTTTGTGTAGCTCTGATAGACCCCAGGTCTGTTTTAGTCGGACTGAGCAGAAATTATCAGCAATTTCATGGGTTTGACAGGAAGAGAGATGCGGTTACCAAGTAAAACACATCCGCTTTCGGGGAAAATACAATATAAAATCTGTTAACTTTGAAGTCATTGATCTCATATAAGGAAGGGGGAAAAAAATATATATATATATATAATTAAATTAAACATAAAGAAAAACAATACTTTACCCACAGGAGGACAGAAAACAGATAAAGTAAAGATCCTCTTTGAGTCTAGGAAAAACAAGTGACATAAAGGGCAGTTTATCACTCCTGGAAAAAAAATAACTTCAGGAGGAGAAAAAAAACAGATATATTAAAGTAGTGATCCTCTTTGAGCCTCACAAAAACCAAAATAACGAGGGGCAGACAGAGCAGGTAAGCACGGGATATCTCTATCACCTATATGAAAAAAATAAATAAAAACTTTGCAGATCTCTTTCTGAGAATCACCTTTCTCTGCCCCAGTTAGCTTTAAACAACCCCACTGTGTTTATTACTGGGTTTTAGGCCTATGAACATTATCTTATCTGGTTTTTATCTGCACAGACTCGCTTTGCTTTTAAGAGTGCGCCGGTGTTTTAAACTTTTTTTTAATGACCTTATAATCTGCCCAAACTAATGTGGGATTTTTTTTTTTTTTTTTGTGTATAGGACAGAGAAAGAAG